TTCCTGGGCACTTCCCGCGAGGGGAAAGGCAACGCGACACCGTGGGAAAACCCCGAAGGGACTAGATGAAGGTCGTGGCAGCCCGGATGCTTTTTGATAAAGAAGAAAGAAAAAAAGAAGAGTAGAAATTGTGGCGAGTGTGCCGCATTATAAAGAAGTTGATGAAGGCGCTAGTCTGTTTTAGGATGATTTAGTCAGCAACCATCCCAACCACTGATGCATGGTCTCTGCTGCAAGTGATGGAATATCCGACGTGTACATGCCCTTACCCAGTGCCGTGGAGCAGCCAGCAAAAATGACGTCGAAAGATTTGGGCTCAAATGGTGAATTTTGCATTCAGTTTCATGTGTATTGAGCTCCTGCAATAAGGACTCCGTATGGTATTGTTCTTCCATGGACAGTTTGAGCTGCACACAACCCTTCTCGGCCTTACGTTTATCCGACGCTCGACCGACACGGCGCGAGATCAAGGGCTCGAACTCTCAAACGTCGTCGCGCGAGGAACCAGTTGCTCTTCGTCCCTCGACGACGATACAATGTCTACGCTTACAGCAGCCCGCCAGACTCAGACGCATGGTCTCGGCCAGAGACCGTTCGATCACGAAGATTTCCGACCACCTCTACTCTTGTCGGATCCGCCGAACCCCTCCCTCCACCACCAAACACATCCTGATTCAACGTCGGAATCGAGCACGTCTCTCCGCACTGCGATACAGTCGCCTCATCCGTACCACGGCAGCGACAGACAGCTTCGGTCTTCTCAGAATAAAACGAGATTGCCAGATTGGAACGAATTCTACAAGAATGGCCTTCCCCAAGAGATCATTGTCATCGAAGATACGCCGGAGCCTTGCCCGGACCGCCCGACAGACGAGCCCACGAGCTATCACACCACCGCTCCCTCGATAAAACCCGCCTCAACTAGGAAACGAAAATTCGACGAAGAACCAGTTGCACAGCCCCAGAGACCCGCCGATGAGCCATACGTGGAGAAGTCGGGTGCGAGGACCGTACAGCCACAACGCGCGGAAATCCGGTTACCACAGCCAAATTCCACGCCGCAGTTGGGCTCGCCTGATCCGCGAGTAAACCAGAAGAGGAAGAGAACCCGGTATCAACTTGCGAATGGAGCCAGTACGGACATTGATGCCAGGTCACTGCTGGGGACCAACATCGAATACAAAGGTCTCACCAAACCAGTGCTCAGAGCGAAAGATGTGGCCGTCAGAGTCGGACACACGGTCAGTGATTGATGTCTCACAATTATTTGCCCAATTGCTCACAATCATTAGGGTTCGAGGGCCGATAACAAGAAAATTGATGACGACGACGGACACTATATTGTTGTTCCTGATGAAGATCTCACCAGTCAATGTCAGTTTTTCGCGGTGTTTTCTGGCGGTGTACTTACCATTCTTCAGACAAAATCCGCAAACTCCTCGGTCAAGGAACTTTTGGCAAGGTCGTGCAAGCCCTCGACAGCAAAACAACGAAGTGGTTGCCGTGAAGGTGATCCGATCCGTGCAAAAATACCGTGATGCAGCCAAAATCGAACTGCGCGTTTTGCAGACACTCCGACAAAACGATGCCGAAAACAAGTACAGGTGCATTCATCTTCGCGACTGCTTCGATTTCCGCGGTCATACCTGTCTCGTCATGAATCTGCTTGACTCTAGCATTTTCGATTATCTCAAGGGTAATGGCTTCGTGCCCTTCCCAAACAGTCATATCCAGAGCTTTGCCAAACAGCTCTTGACAAGTGTCGCTTGTAAGTTCTCAGTAGTCATACTTGGTTTCTCGATTCTAATAATATCTCCAGTTGTCCACGACCTGGGACTGATCCATACCGATCTAAAACCGGAAAACATTCTCCTCTGTGACGCCTCCTACCAAACATTCACCTACAATCGCACCATCCCTCATCCCGGACGTCCCCAGGTCGCCAAGCCGAACATCGGAAGGTTCTCTTAAACCCCGAAATCAGACTCATCGACTTTGGATCAGCGACTTTCCAAGATGAGTACCACTCCTCTGTCGTGTCAACGCGCCATTACAGAGCCCCTGAAATCATCCTCGGGCTTGGATGGTCCTTCCCCTGCGACATTTGGAGTATAGGTTGCATCCTCGTTGAATTTTTCACAGGCGACGCGTTGTTCCAAACACATGATAACGTTGAGCATTTGGCTTTGATGGAAGCCGTGTTTGACATGAAAATCGACACCGAGTTGGTGCGGAAAGTTAACCGAATGTCCTCTAGAAGCAACAGTGCAGCCAGGTAAGTGTTTCTCTGAACCACAGGCCTTGCAAACCCGTGACGGATGGTAGTTCTTTTCAGACAACTAATGATGTCAGCAGTTACTTCAAGCGCTTTCGACTGAACTACCCGACTCCTGAGACAAACCGAGCTTCAAGAAGATTCGTCAGAACCATGAAGCGGCTAGATGTACGCCCCAACACCGAGATCTAACTATTTTGGACATGACGCTCATACAAACACAGGAGATTATTCCCACCAAAAGCAACACTTTTCTGAAACACTTTCTCGATCTGCTCCAAAAAATATTCGTATATGACCCCGCTCGTCGCATTACGGCAAAGGAAGCATTAAATCATCCATGGTTCCAGGAACCAGTACGCGATGATGGGACAGAAGCAGCGCGAATCCGCCTGGAAAGAGCACAAATGTTTCCACACAGCTCTCAGACACGGCTGTAGTCGTCGGTTCAAAGAACGTGGGTGTCGAGGATTTTGATTTGGGTACATCTACGGCATGATCATTGCGGGGACATTTACTTTATGACGGCGCTTTGGTTGAGTTTCTCAATAAAGACGGGCGTACGCTCAAAGATGGAATGACGGGTCTAAACAAAGGAGACAGGAGTAGGTTTATATGATGATACCCAGTACAGAGGATGAATACAACTTGTCGCGTGCTCGTGTCACGTTATGGAGTCTTGGTATGGATACAATCCGCCCTAGACCAGTTGAATGAACAAATTGAACTACATCTCTCACTTGTATAACATTGAAGCTAGCGTGAACCTTTGTTATGCAAATATGACTGCCGACTCTATAATGGAGGTTAGTCTGTCATCACCTCACCCTTGAGTTGTGAATTACCGTAGATGCAACGATGGCACATTATGCGCTGATATGCTCAGATGTGCATGGCACAAGGTGACCAGATCAAGTTTGAAAGTTGGCCTTGGTTACAACTGTGCCAAGTCCCCCAGACGTCGTATGCGCATATCCGTGAGCTTCTACTTGGAGGAACATGTGCTCAGCTGCCGAGCAGTTTTCGGCCTTGCCAAACTGCCAAGGCTGCAGTCACCACCAAATGTAGTCTATTACCTCTGGCACTCGAGTTAATTAAGTGGCAGCTGTATCTGGGGAATTATACGACTGAATTGGGCTCGGGTGGAGTTCTACGTTAAACCTCATCGGATAGTGACCATCTTGAAAATCTTCGGCCCGAGGGCGATGAGAATACAGGCTACCTAGGTTGGTAGAGCTGGAAATAGCTGGCTTGGGCAGGCCGTTGCCAGTTCAAGACAGTCTTGCCTTGTTCCAGAGTCCTCCTTCTCTCCACGCTCCACAGCACTTTTAGGTGCGTCACCAGTCTGCTTGAGTAGTTGAGTACAACTTCTGATGGCGATGGTTCTGGCGTGTTTGGCTAGTTGATGAAGCCTGGGGCATCTTTGTAGGAAGTGGTGTGCTTGCCTTGCGCAAGAGTCTCGCGAAACTCGGAGACTGGGGGGTCCAGCAAGACATCTGGATGTGGTATCCATTCTTTTTCTCGACATTCAAGACGTTTTGTTCTTCATGCTCGAGCTTCCTCGCGCGTAAGATCACGAGTAATGATCTGGTACATAGTGAACATGACCCCTTTGATATCAATCCGGGCCTCACTGTATCCTATCTCACCGATTCGAACCGAAAAGTTGGAGTCGAAGATCGTCAAGGAATCCGTGGTGTCGCTGATGAGGAGATTGCGAGGGGCCACATTTTGATGAGAAATACCGAGACTCAAGATAGGCTCATAAATAACTGCAATTAGCTGGTGGAGCTATTTCAGCTTGAAAACGCAAGTCTTATTCTCCTCAAGGGTCTCACCGGGATAATGCAGTGGTGAACCCAACACACCACACCTCGATCTCATCCACGACGAGCCTGTCAAAGAGCACTATATGCGGATATTTCGGTAAACATATCTATAAGTCCATCTCGTGCCATATATAACCCAAGCGTTAATATATAAAGTAGCAGTTGAATACAAGCTGTGCTCTAGTAAGGTCCTAAGCAACAGTAGGAGTCTCTGGGTAAGACTTGCCTTCTTCCTTGACTCCGGAGGCTTCGGTATCTGGCGAGGTCTACCAGTAGTTCAAGTCTATCAAGTTCCTCTTAGTTTAACCTTAAGATAGCATGGATTCCGTCCGGACGCTGAGCCAGGTCGAGTGAAGGTCTGAATAATGAAAGGGACAGAAGGTATTATCATCCTCTGGGTCAGTCGACGTTGAAATCAATGACCCTGTTTTGAAACCGGATCTTGAAAAAGTCTGGTGCAAGATCGTCTACGTGCTTCCAGGGATATCCAATCGCCGGTTCTGCTGATTCGATCTCCTCGTCCTCAATAGTAACCGATATAAGGCGACGTTGATCCCAGCCCATGACGTGTCAAGTGCTTGGGCCCCAAAGGAAATATTTCCGCTAGGAGCGAATAATCTCTCTTCTGACTTCAAAATTGGTTATAGAAGGCCGTTTCGTGAGGGTTAGTTCAAGGAAGAGGCTGGTGAGGGTCAAATAGAGATTCGGGCGAAGTCAGTACTAGCATGACTCAGAGGCTTTCTCAAAAAGATATTTTGGAAGAAAGAAGGATTCGATATGGCTACGACAGTGCGATGGCGATGTAGAATGGTAGGTAATAGACGAGAGAAGTTTGGGCGGCAAATGCGTCAGCCTCAAGAACGCCTTTCAACTGACTGGAAGTTCAACTGGGTCCGCGGGCGCCCAATGATGGTTAGTACTCGAGGGTCACAGACTGAACCCGAGTACAGCGTTTCCTAAGTGCCCGTGATGTTGAGGTTTCGACATTCCCCTATCTTGTCGGGGTGTTAATTCCCCAATGCGGTTCGTTCAGGCCTTCTCTTGTTGGACCTAGCACTCGTGTGTTGAACGGCTACAATGTCGGAATAGCCAGGCTCTATATCAAATTTCTCGACCGATAGCCCTACCTGGGATGCTTTCAGGACATTGATCGACCGAGGAGATGCAGAACGAGAAGGGAAGAGGCCGAGACCACCCACCCTGCCCTCTATACTACGCAATAAAATTGCACTTGACAGGTGCGGCAATTTCACTCATCATTAAACGAAATCTGAATGAGACTAGTAGTTTGGGGAGATGAGCCTGTCACATTACCTGCGCCAACGGGTCGGTGGATTTTGTTGACGTATTTCTTGAGAAGGGGGCTAACATCATGGCCACAAACAAGAGTGTATGGGCACCCCTAATTGAGGCGTCAGCTGGCACAGGGGCCAAACGCACGATTCAATTGAACCTAACAACTTGGAAATTTGTATGCCTAGAGGAAGCAATTGCAGACTCCAACCAACAGACAATGCAATGTAGTTGGATTTTCAAATACTAGGGAGCTATGCGGTCTTTAAAGGCGAAGACGGTCTGGACTCTCTCCCTCTCCAATCACGCATTCAACTCTGCAAGACACCTAGGATTTTCCCTGAAACCTTAGACTGCTGAGAAACAGCTGTAGATGATTTTGCGAGAATTACATGACAAACGGAATCATATCTGGAGATTGGGAATCGAGGATGTACGGAGCCATGTGGGTAGATAGACAAACGGCAGTCTTTAAGATACCAAATAGAACGTCTAATCGCACACACCTTTTGATCCACGCCCCGCTGGCTTTATCGGCAGTCCAAGATTCGTCGCCCAGTTGCACTCCATGTTATCCTTGGTGGCATCAGCTCCCCACTGCAGCGGAGAGTGGAGCCATCGCTTAAGTATGGTATCGCCGAGTTTGGCCGCCTGGTCGAGTTTGTAAGATCATTAGTGTCCATTACTTATTGATTTTTTAAGTTATGAGTACGGCTATCTAGTAGTTACTGGATGAGGCAAGACTGGGAACTGACCAAGGCCGTTGAGGACCACCCACCATTATGCATGATCCCAACGTGGTGGATACAAGGAATGAGAACGTCCGATGGAAAGTAACTGAGGCTTCCACCATCAACAATTATTTTTGGAAAGGTGCCAATGTCTGCCACCACAGCTACTCCCAGGGATGGACATCGAACGAACGGGAATCGAATCGATAGATTCATTCGATGCCAAGTCTTACGAATGTCGAATCGAATTTCTTGGCATTCGATTCGATGTCGAATCTGCGGCGTGCCCATTCGATTCGCATCGAATCGAATGTGACATGTCCTGTTCGATGTTCGAATACATCGATTCGAATGTGGGGCATCCTATTCGACATTCGAACCGTACAGGTCACCATATGATTCGACATCGAATCGATCGCCCCCACCCGTTCGATCGAAAATCGATCGATTCGGTCGAACAGAGAGACGCGATGTGCGAATCATGACCAAGGGGTGGATTCAGCGCGATTCGCAGACGCGTTAAGAGGCCCCTGGCACTCTCCTCGACGCGAGAAGTGCAACGCGATCAACACTGACAACAATTCATCTTAATGCTAAGATGTGTTAGCAAGTACATAACATGACCCTAAAAGCCCATAGCATACTAGGTACCCTGCAACTACAGCAATCATCCCTGTCACGACCCTGTCTAACCGCCCCCCAGCCCGGAACGGATTAACGCGCCGGCCACCGCGAATTGCCAACAGGTTTACCAGTTGGGAATGACTCCCATGGTCACAATCCCGACAAACAACCCACCAGCAGGTGCTTTACAGGAATGTAACGGACAACCCAATTTAATCTTGTAATAAAACACTGAGTCGGTTTCTATGAGGAATATATATTTGTCGCGTGGGGGGTTGAAGTATGAGTTATTGTTGCTGTAAAATACAACCTCCCAAGTTAGGAGGTACCAAGGTCGTCATATAAAGTAGGTGGGGCTTACAGTAGTTTTTAACGCAGGAGTATAGGGTATGTTTGTCCCAGTAACAGGCCGCTATACAGAGAGGGGGATCACCAAAAACACGCCGCTTTTTCTGCAGAATAATAGGAAGGAAGCAAAAAGAAAAGAAAAGGAAACCAAAAAAAAACTGTCTCCGTATTTCTCTCTACTAAAAAGTTTTTACTGATGCCAGCTTTGGCATGATCAGATGAATATGTCCGGCTCGAAGTTTTCACGCATTGGCGAGTATGGGATTCATGATCTTCCTGCCCCCCTCTTTAACTTTTTGGTTGTCTCGGGGACCTGCGCCTAAAGCCAGCTTTGCCTGTGAACCGATGTACCAGCGACTTCACAGGTGCATCCACTTAGAGCCTCAACTTCAAGTCCCCACCGTTCCGCCCCCTCACGTGAACGGTTTACGAAAATCTCAAGAATCCATTCTGAGTTGACGCCAGATTGGAATGAGCACAAATGCAAAGCCGGTATGGGGACTCGGCTGAGGAACGGGATGGCTTTTTTTCAAGGTTGGCCCGTAGTGATGCGTCTGTGCTTGTGGCATGAGCCAATAGGAGCCTCTGACGCAAGTGGAACAGGGAATATATGGAATCTTACCCCGCCGTCTGTGGACCTAATCAACGAGACCCCGATTTGGCTGGTTGCCAAGTACTGAGAGCTTGGTGGAGCGGCACTTGGGAGAATCTCCGTACACCAATGGTCGGAACAAAGTTTGGCTTCTTACATACAATGGCGGCTTCACGCGCGACTCTCTCGCCTTGGGCGCGCCAGGTCGTCGTTCGCGCTGCTCGCGAATGCATCATTAATCGCACAAGACTTTGCATGTTTAGCGGCAGTGGAGATGTCGCGAATTTCGCGTTGACGACAAAATGGGCGTGATATACGCGTGTTATTGGCCTCAATGCCTGTCCAGTCAGTGATGGATGGATGGATTTAAGTTGAGCCTCAGTGCAGTCTCAATGGCTTCCAACAACCTCGACCCACGCGACCCATCTGTCCGACTAGCTAAACTAACTGCATCATGATGTCCTCCGAACCATTCTCTTTGAGCCCTTCGTCCTGGAATCAACCAGGTGTGATGGAGCGCGATGAATTCTCTTCTTCGCCAGCCGCCCCGTCTCCAGGAACCTCGTTACCAACGACGCCATCGCTCCGTCCTCGCGGGACTGCCGCCGATTTTATTCAGGTCGATTGGACACTCTGGGGCCGCCAAGAGTGGGCCAAATGGCCCGGATTCGAGCTTTATACTGGCGGCCAAGACACGAGGGCATGGTGGCAACAATATGGGTATCGCGTTAAGGACCGTTCCACCTCGCGGCAGGGAAATAAGCTGAAGTGGATCTGCGCCGACTGCTTTGCCCGAGGTTTCAAGAAGAAGTCGGACTTCTGTTTCGTCTGCTCGACAGGAGTCGCCATCAGGAAACACCTACTCAAAGCCCACGGGATTCTTGTAAGTGTGTGCCTCTCATCTACGGTTTGATAACGTGCTGATTTGGCAGGCCCCGAACAAAGTTGCCAGCCCCGTGGGGGGCTCATTTCTAAATGACAGGACCATCACCGACTTCATCGATGCCGACTTCAATAATCCCCACGACCAGTTTCTTCTCAGCAAGCTGCGTGGAAGATTCAGCAGCAAAGGCCTCCGAGTACTCCTCCTCGACTGGATTACCTACCATAACCTGCCGTTCAACATTGTCAATACCGAGCGGTTCCAGCGGATCCTTCTCTACGGCAATCCCCTCCTTGATGTGACCCACATTCCCTCTGCGAAGACGCTGCTTCGCATGCTCGAATCCGAGTATAGGGGTGCCGTTGGGCCGGTAACCGAAGTATTGCGCAGCGCTCGATCCCAGATTCATTTCTCCTTCGACGGTTGGACATCCAAGTCGTACACTTCGTTTCTTGGGATCAACGCTCAATTCATTGATAACCACTTTGTCCAACACCGAATCCTCCTTGGGCTTCGACCTCTCTCGGGCAGACACAACGGTGCTTCACTTGCCGATGAGGTCGCTGATACGCTCGCATTCTGGCAAATCAACAACCCGGACAAGGTTGGCTACTTCACGCTGGACAATGCTGCCAACAATGACACCTGCATGGACGATCTTGCCTTTGAACACGGCTTCTCAGCTGAAGAGCGACGGATCCGCTGCGCTGCGCATATCTTCAACCTTTGCGTGCGGGCAATGCTATACGGTTCGAAGCGAGAGAACTTCGCGGCAATCATCGCTGCCGATGGTGACGATCAAGATGACGATGAGGAGCTAGTTGATCAAGCTATCGACGAGGCCCTGGATGTAGAAATGGAAGACGGCACGGATGAAGACTTTGAAGCGAACACTGCCGTTGGTATCCCAGAAGAGGACTTCCTATCATCCCACCCAGCCCCGGAGGAGATCAATGGAGCCACTTTCAGGGAGTACAGCCAGAACGGCGCCCCAGGAATGCTTCACAACATCGGGATTCAGCTGCGAGCGACTACACAGCTGTACGAGCAGTTTCTTCAGTCTCAGCGCAAGGAATCCGGCCATGAATCAACACTTCACTGGGTCTTCAACAATGCCACCAGATGGAACTCGGATATGCGGATGATGGAGAGGGCCCTTCGTCTCCGCCCGGCTCTCAATACGTTCTTCAATGACGTTCAGAACCGTTGGGAAACTGAGGGTCTTTGTGACAAACCGAAACCGGCAGTTCTGCAATACCGCTTAAGTGCGTACGACTGGAAGGTTATCGAGGTGCTTGTCAAGCTTCTGAAGCCTTTTGAAATCGCCACCAAGCAACTTCAGGGCGACGGTATTCCCGACGCGAGGTCGACTTGCGGTAGTTTCGATGAATACTTCCCTGTCTTCGAGATCCTACTTGACCACCTCGAAGGAGCTATCGAAGGCACAATCTTTGAAGAAGTTGAGGATCCAGTGAGCAAGGAGAAGAAGGACGTCGAAGTCGCCATCTACGACGGGCTCGATAGCAGAACCCGTAGATTGCTCAAGGTCTTTATCAAGCTCGGATGGAAGAAGCTGCACAAGTACTACAACTGTCTGACTAGCGCAGCTTATGTCGGCGCTGTTGTCTTCAACCCGGCGAAGAAGTGGCGCCTTCTCGATCAACTGTGGTCTCGAGTGCCTTCTCGTAAGGCCAAGGGTTGGCGATTAGAGTACGAATCCCAGCTCTTGGAGATCTGGGAGAGTTACAGGGAACGCGAAGTTGACTACGAAGTCTTCGCTACATCTGACGAGGCCTCAATGGATTACATTGAGCGGAGACTTGCCAGGAGTGTAGCTGGGTCGCCATGCGCCCAGGGTTCGTCCTTGGCAGTGTCCAGTGCCCGCAAGAGCACCCGAAAGACGAAACACACGACAGCAGGAGCGACTGCTGATGACGAATATGCTTGGTACTGTGCTGAGGATGTTGTCAACAGTCACCACTACAGAAGCAGGCCGATTGACTGGTGGAAAATCAACAGGAATCGGTACCCGCGACTGTCTCTGATGGCGGTTGATATGCTCACCATCCCATCGTCGTCTGCGGAGAGCGAGAGGACATTTAGCAGTGCAGGACGTATGACGGCACCGTTGAGAAGTCGGCTGAGGAGGGAGATAGTGGCGATGGCTCAGTGCATTCGATCATGGAGTAAAGCTGGGATCTACACGCCTTCACTGCCGCTGGTTAGCCTCAGTGATGATCAATGGGTTGACGCACTTGCGTCGCTGAGGGGGACGAGTGACATTTAATCTGCCTAGTACCTGCCTTTGCACAATTGACGATGTTCTGCGATGTCTTATCTGAAGCCGTGATACCTTCTAAACCCGCTCTGCACCTCTCACCACTCTTCTGTCGGGGTATGACGGCATGACGGCCTGGTGATGATGACGACGGTCCATTTGGTTCTAGGTCCTATTGGTGTTTCGGTCTCCGCCGGGATTAGTTCTACGTTCGATCGAGTTCGAATCGAATTCGATCGAATCTTGGCATTCGATAGATATCGAATCTACGGAAGACATGTTCGATTCGAGTCGAATCTACGGCACAAGAATTGTGGCGCGTTCGATTCGATACGAATCTGCGGGAGATGTGTTCGATTCGAGTCGAATCTACAGGACAAGAATTGTGGCACGTTCGATTCGATACGAATCTGTGGGAGATGCGTCCGATTCGATTCGAATCTACGGGGTCACATTCGATTCGAACGCCAAGGCTTGGCGTTCGATTCGATAGATTCGTAAGATGTCCATCCCTGACCAGAACCCCTACACGGCCGAGTTGGGGGCGATAGCGATGGCATTGCGATGCATGCCTGACGGACTACGGGACCGAAGACTCACCATACTGTCAAGCGGCCAGTCAGCTCTGAAGGCGATCGCGCGACCGCGACAACAATCGGGACATTGCGCCATCCGGGAAATCTACAACCACATCCGACGGCTGGGAAAAGGCAACAACAGTGTTAAAATGATCTGGGTACCGTCCCGGGACGACGCGTTCCCCTTGGGACCCAAGGCGAAGAGACAGGCGCAGAGAGCAACCGAAGCAGGACGTACGGCAGAGACACCGCCATACCAAGCTCGATCGACGCGGACAAGACTGGCGAGAGCGCAGCTACAACAGCATCAGGCGCTACCGGACAGAGTGGGCGGCTTCTCCAAGAGGGTTGACAAAGCGCTACCAGGAAAACACACAAAGGTGCTATACGACGGACTGAAGAGGCGCGAAGCAGACACGCTTTCACAGTTACGCACGGGAATGGCGAGGATCAACAGCTACCTGTCGAGGATCGGCGCGGTGGAATCAGACTTGTGTGATTGTGGACGGGCAACCGAGACGATGGAACATTTTCTCTTTCGCTGCAGCAAGTGGGATGCACAACGCGAAGGCATGCGGCGAATCGGACAAAGCGAGATGGGAAACCTCTCATTCTTTCTGGGAGGAAAGTCGGCGTTGGACGGACCGAGATGGTCACCTAACCTACAGGCGGTGCGAGCAACAATCAAATTCGCGATGGAGACAGGAAGACTAGGGCCAAGGGAGGAGAATTGAACATACTAACAACCAGAACTAGAAAATACTAACACAACACAGCCTCATTTTGACAGACCACGCTTCAGCTGCTGAGGATAGGATGCTGAACACTTGGAGAAATTGGCCTTCAAGCAGGCCTGTCAGAGAGAGTCAAGCGAGGCCAAACGAAAGCGATCCAGGGAGAGAAAGTGGGGCTTTACTTTGTGGTCAGGATTGAAGGTGGCAGAAATGTAAATAGCACAGCGTATTCCATGGCCCTATGAGATCCGTTCTCCCGGGCGTAATAAATCTACTACTACTACTAAAAGACCTTTCGTACCGAAAGGCACTTAAGAACTGATGTAGAGTCAGCCTTCGGCTGAATAATTGTATAATTATCCAATCTTGTCCTTGAAAATCTTCTAGGCCTATACTATATCAATGCTCGCTCTCATCCTACAGCCTCCTTTTCATCGACGCCTACTCAACCCCCAAACTCCCCTGATGCTCATCAGACGCGGTGCTTCCTACTGCATGACCAGGACGTTCCGGAATCGGGGCTTTCCAGCCAACAAGCTGTCGACTGCCTGCTGGACCTCGGAGAGAGGATACTTCTCAACAAAGCACTTGACTCCATGGAGCATTGCAAATCGGATGGCCTCCTCGCTGTCGATGGCATGGCCGCTGGGCCAGCCATGCACACTGGCGCCCTTCATGACGAGAGTGACTGTATTAAACTCAACGGCGCCGACGGGCGCGAGACTCAGGAGCTTGCCTAACGGCGCGAGGCCCTCAACGAGGTTGCCCACGGCCTTAGGATTGGGCGCGGTCTGGACGATGATGGCAGCACCGCCGAGCTTCATCAGTTCAGCCGCAGGGTCGGACGTCTTGGTGTTGATGTAGTGGTGGGCGCCCAGCTCCTTGGCGAACTGAGCCTTGTCGTCGCCGGATGAGAGGACGGCAACTTCGTAGCCCATCTTGTTGGCGTACTGGACAGCCAAGTGGCCGAGACCTCCGAGACCCTGGACTGCGACGAGAGCGCCCTGCTCGACGCGCATCTTGCGGATGCCGTTGAAGACGGTGACACCGGCGCAGAGGAGGGGGGCAGCATCCGCAGGATCAATCTCCTTAGGAACGCGAACAGCGGCCTCTTCGCGCAGGAGGACGTACTCGGCAAAGCCACCGTCCTGGCTCAAACCGTTGACAGCCTTGTTGTCGCAGATCTGGAACTGACTCCGCTGGCACTGTCTGCAAGTCCCGTCATGACCACCATGCCAGGGGCCACCGACGCGCTCACCGCCCGAGAAGTGAGTGACGCCCTCGCCGACGTCGACGACGTCGCCAACAATCTCGTGGCCGGGGACGCGGGGGAAGACATCGCCCATGTGGCCGCCAGCGATAGCAATGTCGCCGAAGCAGACACCGCAGGCGAGGACCTTGACGAGGACTTGGCCCTTGGCCGGGTGCTTGAGGGGGACGTCGCGAAGGGTCCAGGTGGCGTTGGCTTTGTCGAGGACAACGGCCTTGTAAGTCGAAGGGAGAGAAGGCATGATGTTTTTGTTACTGGTTGTAGTTTGGGTTTGACTTGACAGTTCTGTTTGAGAGTGTTGAAAGTGAAGATTGAAGATTGTAGGATTGATGAGGATGAGGATGAGAGTGAGGATGAAAGACAAACTCAACATCGACATGGCAGAGACACTGTCTTTTTATAATCAATCCGACCAGAGAGGAAAACACCTACCGTACCTGTTGTCTTGCACATGTGAAGACGGCTTACTAATGGTTATTGTCTTAGGGAGCTTGACTATCGGAGTAGAAGTATCGGACATAGCATATTTCCGTTGGTAAACTGGGGATGTATGTCTCTCTTCCCCCACTTTAATCACGTATCCACTGCCATCATCTAAACGAAACGTGCAGACGGTTGCTGTATGATCTTCATGGGCTTTAGCTTGAGGATTGGATCAGAATCCGTTGTGAATGGACGGAGTTTGCATGATATCATTAACTCATCCGAATTCCGAGAGACTGCGTATGCTGAGTTGCCTTGGTGGCTTGCGGCGTAAGGTGAACGGGCGTCGGAGGAGAGAAATGCAGTGGTTGTCGGATTTGTTTGTGACGTTGGAGTTGTTCCAAAGCCGATGGCTTTGGACGTTGGAGTAAAAGGCGTGATTGCCGCAGTCAAAAGGCATTCACCATGCACGGCGACGCTTTCATTACGAACACCTCCTTCTCGCCCTGCAACAGAGCGCTGAGGCCGCCGGCCTGGGCGCCGCTATCGGCCGTGCAGCGGGCACCGCTGGCAGGACCGTGAGCCAGACCGCGAGGTCGGCCGGCAGCTCCATCAAGGGCCTCCCTGGCCTGTTGGGCCACAACAGACAGGCTTTTATCAATCAAGGAAGCTCCTGGCTCGAAGGCCCCACGAACAACAAGGTCGTGGTCTAGACTGCTCGTCTCTGGCACCATCTCTGGCAGCATTTCCGGCTCCATCGGCAAGAGCGGCAAGAGCCGTCGCTCCGCTGACAGGGACCGCCTCCTGTCCCGCGAGCGCGTTGAGGAGCGCCAGGAGGACTCGAACACTTTCACGGTCGGAGGCGACGCTGAGATCACCATGCCCGAGACAGCCCCTATGGGCCTTCCTCAGGACAAGTGGGATGCCTGTTACTGGGAAACCCATACCACCAACATCGAGTTCGCCGGCTGCCAAGCGAATGGTGCGAGAGGCACGAACGCTGAACCTGGCTCCGGTGCCTCAGCGAGTTGTCACGTATCTGCCAAGCAGCAATACGTGGGCCTCTTACGTCCCGCCGGGAATGGTCAGCAGAGGGCAGTGGGACGAAATCATTGCCAGAGTGGTTAATGCACCAGAGGAAGGAAAGGAGGACCAGGTGGATGCTCGAGCGAAGTGAGCCGAGGAGCGACGAATGCGACGCCAGGGCTGAGATTGTTGAGGAAAATGGATTGAGTTTGTTGAGACTGGATTAATCAATTGGTATTTTAGGAGAAAAGACTGGTTTCTCTCTCCATCAAGGAGGTCAGCCACTCGGTCGGAGGTCGCGACCCCAGGTGCTTGAGGACAAGCGGGAGTCGCGAGGGGAGGCATGTGTCGGGGCCGGCTGACACGGAGGTCCGGATAATACGGTTGACTGTAGGGCTCACTGTCCCAAAACCCATTTTCAAAAATTTCCCACTAGCCGCACACTACGGGCGTATTCACGCCTGATCGTAAATGTAATATCCTTTAAACCGATTATATGACGTTTACATGCTCTCATTCCAATACTGGCGAGAATTCGAGCACAGCTGTGAACAGTGTTTACAGATATTTACAGGCGTAGAACACATGCATAGAGATTCGTCTTTTTTTTAAGCGCGCGCAATTGGAATTATTCCCTCGTCATCTTTCTTCTTCTTTTTTTTTTTTTTTTTGAACATTGGTCTACAGACGTGTACACCACCAAACGTCGCGAAACATTGGTCCATGTCGCAAAACATCATCCGCCATTGCTTCACGTTTATCATCAGACAACAACAACTTCTCGACTACGCGTCCACACGTCCATACACGCCTGTACCGCATTGAACAATGGCGTCCACGGTTGTGTTCAAGTTGCCCGACGATCTCAACGGTACTCCCATCCTATCTGAGGAGAACGTCGACCCCGTGGACATGTCGCCCGCGAACTTGTTCGCGCGGTTGTTCTACGACGCCAAGGCTTCCTTTACTGCCAAGGCCGCTGCGATCTTCGACCGTGACGCTGATTTCCCCGTGAGTACCTACTCGATTGACTCTGTACAACCCTGTACATGGCTAACTGTTGGATAGATGATGCGATTCATTGAGCTACGTTCTCGACAGACCAAGTCAGGCAAAGTCATGCCTGTGGTGAACGTTACACGCCCTCAAGCCGCCGATTCCTTGGTCAAGTTCATGTACGGGCAAGAAAACAAAGGCAAACAGGCGTGCCAGAAGTGCAAGGACGGTACTGGTGCGTTCAATGCTTATGTGACATTGGACGAAATGTCACCTGGTTGTGCCACTTGCCACCACGGTGGTGCTGCCAAACATTGCTCACTTGTCTCTGGTAAGTTCTGTACATACATGTACATATCTGGTCTGGATCTATCACTAATAACCACAGGTGGCAGCAAGAGATCCCGCGACGAATCCTCTGACGATGAGCCAACTTCCAAGCACCAGAAAAAGCAGAAGGGTAAGGGCAAGAAAAAGAACAAGAAGGAAAAATCTGGCCGGGACTACAAGGCAGAGGATGTTATGGATGCGCTCATGAGACTTGACAACAAATCGCTCAGAGTCATGAAGAATGTCTTCGAGGCACTCCTTGACGGCAATATTCATGATGATACTGATTAGTTTATGTCTGATTAGCTATGTACATGGCTCTACGGGGACATATGGGCTTGGGTTTCTGAGATTTCAAGCATAATGATTAGCATAGTTCTGATCAGGTATGAACAGAGCTGTAAAGAGCTTTACAGACTTTGTCTTTGAAACAAAATAAAGATTTCTCAAGTTTTATTTAAATATGTGAAAAAAGTGAAAGATATAACTAGTTATTTTTAAAAAAAATTATAACGTACATGATAAGCATGCGCCGCATCCAAGTATGCGCCGCACTTTTCCCTCAAACACATAACTCTCTATATTATCAATTCAATTTCAACCACCAAACATGCCACAGCAAACTACTGAAGCTAGAACCCTTCTTGCCCTTCAAGCCCTTCAAAACGACCCAAAATTAAGTATCCGACGCGCCGCATTGATATACGAAATAGATGAGCGAAGGCTACGTCGCCGACAGAATGGCATTCAATCTCGACGCGATTGGATCCCGAAATCGCGTCGTCTATCTGATCTAGAGGAACAGATCATTGTTCAGTTCATTCTCGACCTGGATTCGCGAGGATTTGCCCCGCGACTGCGTGGTGTTGAAGAAATGGCCAACCGACTGCTCGCTGACCGCGACGCGTCACCTGTCGGCAAGCGCTGGGCTTCTAACTTCGTCAGGCGACAACCAGAGCTTAAGACGCGTTTTTTTCGTAAATACGACTATCAGAGGGCCAAATGCGAAGATCCAACCATTATTCGCAATTGGTTCCGGCTCGTGGAGAATACAATCGCGAAATATGGTATCGACCTAGCCGATATCTACAACTTTGATGAGACCGGCTTTATGATGGGCATAATCGCAAGCGGAATGGTCATCACAGGCGCAGATAGGCGTGGAAACCCGAAATCAGTCCAGCCTGGAAACCGGGAATGGGTTACAGTCATTCAGGCGATTAATGCGGAAGGCTGGGCAATCCAGCCATTTATCGTGGTTGCGGGCCAATATCACCTCGCCAACTGGTACCAAGAAAGCAACCTCCCGGGCGATTGGGCTATTGCAACAACTCAAAATGGCTGGACCAATAATGAGACAGGTCTTAAGTGGCTCAAGCACTTTAATCGGCATACAAAGGATCGATCGACCGGTCGCTATCGTCTTCTAATCCTCGATGGGCATGAAAGTCACCACTCCGTCGACTTTGAGAAATATTGTGAAGAGAACGACATCATTACGCTTTGTATGCCGCCTCATTCATCTCATCTGCTCCAGCCTCTTGATGTCGGGTGCTTTGGGCCGCTTAAAATAGCCTATGGTCAAGCAATTGAGCAATTGATCAGATGCTCCATAACTCATGTTTCGAAGACCGAGTTCTTCCCAGCCTTCTACGCTGCCCACGAAGCCGCCATGACAAGGAGTAATATTGAGGGAGGTTTTCGAGGGGCCGGACTTATTCCCTTGAACCCAGAAAATGTCATATCGAAGCTTGATGTACAGCTACGGACTCCAACACCAGTGAGGGAGGAGATCAGCCTCCCCGACCCTTGGGTCTCGAAGACCCCAAAGACCGTGCTTGAGGCTAGCTCTCAGTCTGAATACCTCGAAAGACGAATGAAAAGGCATCAGAGCAGCTCTCCAGCATCAATTCTTGAGGCGCTTAAGTCACTTTCAAAAGGAACAAAGGCAATAATGCATCAGAATGCCCTATTGAAAGCTGAGGTCCAGATCCTTCGACAGGCGAATGAGACTCTTAGTAAGCGGCGTAGAGCAAAAAGAACCCGCCTACAAAAAGGAGGGAATATGACTCTAGATGAGGGAAGGGATGCGATAGATCAGAGAGACGTTGATGCGCAGGTAGTGGCTGAATCGTCGAGAAGTGGTGGTCGACGGAGGTTGGCGCTACCGAAGGAAAGGCGCTGTGGAACTTGTGGAAAGGCTGGTCATAATGCAAGGACTTGTCAGGCTGTAATTGAGACCTCTGGAGAAGAGTATAGTGATTAGTTTTAATTGATTGGATGCTTTGTTGTGTTTTTATTGAAGTTTTAATCTTAAAGGGTTAGGAAAAGTGCGGCGCATACTTGGATGCGGCGCATGCTTATCATGTATGAATGAATGAAATTTATTCCGCCCGGGAGGACTAACCTCATAGGGCCAGGTGCGCTAGGCTATTTACAGTTCTAAGTTTATTGTTCGCATCTCCCAGAAGCCCAACATTCTTCCTCATCCACTTATCGGTCTTGCCTCGCTTGACTCTGTGTAACAGGCCTGCTTGAAGGCTGATTTCTCCAAGTGTTCAGCATCCTATCTACAGCAGCTGAAGCATGGTCTGCTAGTTTGAGGCTGTTTCGTGTTAGTATCGCCAGGTTTGGCCGCTAAATGTGGTTAGTTAGTGTGTCACCCAGTCGGGTTCGCATCTAGTCTCCTCGTGTCCATGGCGAACTTAATCGCCGCCCGCACCGCCTGTAGGTTAGGCGCCCATTTTGGGCCATCCGATGCCGCTTTTCCTCCCAAAAAGAACGAGAGGTTTCCCATCTTTGCCTGTCCCATCCTTCGCATGCCTTCCCGCTGTGCATCCCACTTCGTACATCGGAACAGAAAATGTTCCATCGTCTCTGCTGCTTGTCCAAGTATTGATTCGTATTTTCAGAGAAAATAACTAGTAGAGGCGCAGCGCGTCTACCTACATAGACCCTCTACCTTGCATCCCCTTGGATCCTATTCCGCTCCTTGCGCGGGGCACTGCCGGTTCGCAAGTCAATACCAGTTTGCTCCTTAAGCCCACCTCCACAGCCAACCCAAAGCCCCATCCTCGATGGCCATCTTCAGGATCCTGTCCTCTCGGTAGACCGACACGCGCGTCCGTCCTCTCGGGCCATATAGAAAGTGTCGTAACTGCAGTCCGCCCACCCAGCCTTCCGTCGCTTCCATTATATGCCGCGCCCCGCAGATTGTCAAGTCTGTTTCGCGCTACCTCGCAAGATCTCTCTTGCCAGGCCGACCGTGTCTCGCAGAAGTTTGTCCACTTGCATCCTCTCTGTACCCAGAACAGCCGAGCAACGCAGTGTCGCCACTCCTACTAACCAAGGTGCCTTGTCGTTCTCTGTGCGGGTTCAAGAGTGCCGTTCCTTCTCGTTCGTTTTCGCCGTGACTATCACGCTTCCTGTCGCTTATCCGGCGCGTCTTGGTGTCCTTACAACAGAGCAGCCCAGAAGCACCCCAAGGGTGTCCTCTTCCACGACCCATATGTTCATCGTTTGTAGGCTCGATTTCGCGGTCGCGTTTCGGGTGGTTTTTAAAGTGTTCCCTTGTTGCTTGTGGAGGGTAGGGCTCGTGAGCCCTATCGCGCAACCACCGCCCAAACCAGCGGACAAGTGCTGGTCGGTGATGACTCTTCTTAGCTCTGCGAATGCCTCGGAGGCAAAGGCATTCCCAGGTTCCCAGCCGGCACCACGAGGAGGTGAGAGTCGTCGCCGGCCGCTTATCATGTACGTTACATGATAAGCAGAACTTATCGTTGGTGCGTTTTGCTTAGTAATTTCCGGAAAAGCGCAGGGATTTCCGCCTGACTTCAGATAAGTCAAATTAAGCCCTTATCCATCCCTACCCCTGCTTTTCATCCAGATCATTCAGAGCATCTAAAAAAATTATTTACTAGATAATTTTACATGGCAAGTTAAGTAGGTTAATTTATTTTTTATTTCTAGATTGATTTGCGGGCGAAACTAAGCTTGTTTTTATCGTCTCTAATATCTGGCTCCTGGCCCCTCGTGGGCACGTACAGTCATCGCCGGCAGCAGCTCTTCTTCTTCAGCTCATCCGCAAGGCATTTCAAGCTCCGGCTCGCCCGTAGAAGCTCTAGCTCGGCGATAGCCTCATCTTCGCTTTGGCCACGTGCGATACGGGCTTGGATCTCATCCCAGATCACCTTACGGCGGCAAAACTGAACGCGGATCGCATTCCCAGGGCGCCAGCGACTTCCCCACTCCTTCTCTAGCTCCCGGATCGGCGGCTGGCCTCCATATCCTTCCTTCCACTGCTTCCATACGTCCTGAATAGTGTATGCCTTAGCTAGAGCCGTAGAGATAGGTATCCCGGCTTCCGTTGGTGCTGCCGGCAGCTCTGCTGCTGCCGCTGCCGCCGCCGTTGCTGCTGCCGTTGCCGCCGTTGCTGCTGCTGCTGCCGTCGCTGCCGCCGCCTCCGGCTGGCCAAAATAGCCTATTAAATTAAGAGGGACGCTGCCCTGAAGCAAGGCGCCGAGGTTCTCTTGTATAAAGCAAAGCCGTCCTTCGAGCCGCCGCTCGATGCCATTTGCTAGCCGGTTGCTATTCTGAAGGATAGCATCCCGGGAGCTTTCGAGCGCGGAGCTGATCTCTGGTAGCACGCGCTGTAAGAGTAAGCTTGGCGGCTCGCCTACGGCGACGCTCGAGCGGACTGTAAGGGCATACTCATTCCAGTCCGGGCCGTAGAAGGGAGCGTAGGCAAAGAAAGGGAGAGACGGATAGCGTGGCTGGAGCACGGCAAGGTCTTGGAGCAGAATTATCCGTAGGCGCCGTAGGAGCTTGATAAAGCCGTCTGCCGCGAGGTCATCGTCGTCGAGGCCGCCTTCGGCCCAGCGCTGCCGCTGCGCCCGTGCCTCGAAGCGGGCCTCCCATTCTTCGATCCAGGGCCAAAGCTGCTTCTGGAGCAAGAAGGGCGGCTCGTACGAGGCGCGGGCAAGGAAGTAATCGCCGCTTCCAGAGGCCGAGAAGCCAGCCACGACCCGCATAAACTGCCGCGGCAGATGGGTGAGATAGGCCTTCACGAGCATGCTCTGGTTCCAGCGGCCGGCCTGAGAGATCTGGGCTAGGGACGAGCCATGGGTTTCGGCATTCTGGGCTCCTGTACGACGCGGCAGATGCGTCTTCTTGGCGGAGACGATGCCGGCGGCTCCAAAGACCCGCCACGTTTCCTGTAGCTGTACGGCGTACGAGATCTCTTGCTCGCGGTCGCGGCCGACGAGGACCTTGATCCTGTACCAGTCCTGCCGGCGCCGGAAGGACGGCGGCGCCTCGCCCGATATATGCCAGCGCCAGAAGAGGAGCTGCGCGAGCGCGCCTTGCGTGCAAAGAAGGGGGTCCTTATGCCGTAGCGAGCCCATAAATTCCTTCTGCGCCGTCTTATTCATCTTGCCGTCTTGGAGGAGGCTAACTAAGCAGCCGCAAAGCGTCGGGCCTTCGGAGGGCGGGTAGTCGAGGAGGGAGAGGTCGGCAAGCTCTAGCTTACGCCGGTTCTCGCCCCGGAGGAGGCAGTAGTGGCCGAAGAGAAGGTCCACGCGCGTCCGCAAGCTCTGGTGCGGCGTAAAGACCGAGCTGCTTAGCAAGACGTCTTGGATACGGAGCCATTCCGTGGCTGAATAGCCGGCTTGGATGCCATCCGTGCCGCGGTCTTGAAAAGTCTCCCGGTCAAGCCGGCCGCGCTGCCGGCCACGCTGTTCCAGGAAGCCCCGTACAGCTATACCACGCGGGTTTTCCGTATTGCGGTTCCCGTGGGCTACTTGCACCCTCCAAAGCTCAATCACGGCAGCGATGTAGGCGTCTACCGTGCCTCTTGACAATAGAGTGCCTTCTTCTTCTTTTTCTGTAGCTGTAGCCGCTGCTAGAGAGACTGGGGGTATGTAGCCTTCTCTATCGTCGCTAAGCAGCTCCACGGCTTCAGCTACGGGCACTTCTAACCTCTCGGCCAAAGCCTCCGCCTCGGCAAGAGCTTTAGCGTCTTGCTGCTGCTGCTGCTGCTGCTGCTGCTGCTGCTGCTGCTGTTGCGAGCCGGCTTTGCGAGGCGTTTTGGGCTTCTTGCAAGGCTCGAACCAACTACATTGCATATCCACGTGGACCACATATAAGTGGCCCATCTCTATTACATCCACTTTGCCGCGCTCAGCTTACGTAATGATCCACTACACACACACACACACACAATTTATTACGCCCGGTGGCTTATAACCAATAGGGCACTAGTTGCTATTGTACATTTCCGTTTCCCAAGCTTTGTCATAATCTCGTAAAAACCCATACAGCGTCCAATTTCTGCTTTTGCTTCTTCCTTTTCAATCTTTCCGCGGGTCTCGTGGGGTATATATTATTAGCAAGCAAACTTGAAGGCTATTCTCCAAGTGTTCAGAGTCCTATCTACGGCGGCTGAATCGGTGCCTGCTGTCCATGGCACGAGGTTTTTGATGGAGGGGTGTAAGGTAGGTTAGTAAGAAAGTAAGTAGGGGATTTTGCCATCTGGTTTTACCGTTGTGTATTGTCAAGTCGACCTGTGGCTATTGCAAATCGTATTGTTGCGTGGACTGCTTGCATATTTGGCATCCATTTTGCGTCGTCTGCTGGTGCCTTTCCTCCCAGGAAAAATGAGAGATTTCCTCTTTGTGTCTCGGTGCACTGCAACATTTGAGCCCGCTGTGCTATCCATTTTCTGCATCGGAAAAGGAAATGCTCGACCGTCTCTGTCGCTTGTCCACATGCGCATTGTGCTGATGCTACTGCTGTAATCCGGAAGAGATATCCATTCAATCTGGCCATACCTGTCCTGAGCTGTGCCAGTACGCTGGCCTCTCTCCATGACAAGCCGTCGTATAGTTGTCGAGTGTGCTTACCTGGTAACGCAGCATCGACTCTCTTTGAAAACCTTCCGACGTTGTCTGGCAGGCGTTGGTTAGTGCCCTGGTTCCTTAGAGCCAAGTTAAGGGTTGTTGATCTCATTCTAGGAAACTTCAGGGCCGGGATAGCACCATCTCGGGTTGCATCTCGCGCCTCTTCTTTAGCAGTCTTCAAGAGTTTATGTTCAGCACTGATGGGTATCCATATGGCGGTTACCACATTTCCGTTACACTTTAATGCTTCAATGGAGTCGTATATACATCCAACATACTCTTGACCAGATTGCTGGCGAGGATTTCGCAGCGTAAGCACAGCAGCTTTGTTGCTCGTTAACAGTGCTACGCTTCGGTACCTGAGGTCAGGTAAGTGCCTGACTGCATATGCCATCGCCGCCAATTCCCCAGAAAACGGATTTTGTTCTGTTCTCACGCCAAGCGTGAAGGAAAATCGCTCACGCCTCGGTCCTCCTCGCACCGATATAGGGATCTCGATGATCCCACCGACGCCTACTACTCCGTTCCGTGCTGAACAGCTCACTGCGATGCGTACTGCCCAGCCCAGATCTGCTTGTGTCGTCTCTGTCTTGTCGGCAACGATGGTTTGTAACCGTTCTGCCCAAGGTGCCAATGTGAACGGGTTGACCGTTTCTAGTTCCTCCACTGGTATCTCATTGAGTGCCACTGCCATGTCGTAAAATGGCGAGCGGTGATATCTTCTGAACTTTCGGATGCGGGATGTAGCGTTACGAAGTGGGTTGGTTGTTGGCAGGGTGTGGAGGTTAGTCCACATCTTGATCGCCCGCCTCCAGAAACGTTCCTGTGCGCTGGCGACATGTGCCTCAGCTTCTGCTACGCTTGTTGCCACTGTGAGAAACGTTCCCACGATTGCTTGTGCCCCAATCCTTTGGACTCGGTTGATGGGACTGGCTCTTCTGTACTTGCACGCGTGCATCCAGACGTTCGAGGCGTAATCTACTACTGGGGCAACCATGGCTGTAAACAGTTGTCTTGCTGTCGCTGGCGTGAGACCCCTGAGCCGTTGTAACTCCATGGCCGCTTCCAAGCCCTTGGTCGCTGCTCGTGCAATGTGTTCTTTGTACTTCAAGCCGGAATCCATAATCATTCCGAGAACCTTGACTTGGGTTTTGGGTCGGACGAGCCGCTCCTTGATTGCAAAGGGCTCTGAGTTAGACTTATACGCCTTTCGGGTGAAGTGTATGATCGCCGTCTTCTCCGCCTCAAAGGTTGCGCCACTCCTCCTCTCCCAGTCCAGCGCATTCTCGATGATTGCTTCAATTCCGTCGCGATTGCTCTCTGCTGTCGGGCCTGTGACCCACGCTGTGAAGTCGTCCACGAAGGCTATCGCTCCTCCGTAACAATCAATTCGCTGCTGTACGAGGTCTGCGTTGAAGAATAGAAACAGGATCGGAGACAGAGGGGACCCTTGAGGCAGACCAGCTTGTGGCAAGCTTCGCACCTCCGATGCCTGTCCGTTGACCCGAATGGTCGCTGTGCGATTCGAGCAAAAGGCCTCAATCCAGTGAAGCAGCTCCTCTGGGATGCCCCTTGCTCTCAATCGTTGGACGAGTCTCTCTTTGCACACTCCATTGTATGCCCCCTTGACGTCGAAACTCACGAGGCTAAGGATTCGTCGGCCTCGCCAGGCAGCGTAGATTTGCTCTTGCAGCAGCATCAGCGCTTGCTCAGCAGACCGCTGTTTACGGGCTCCGAAGTGGTTTGTTGGCAACAGTCCATATGTCTCGACGGCATGTGAGATCCTTTCTGCAATGACCGACTCCAATACTTTGCCCAGCGTAGACAGAAGCGATATAGGTC